TGGCTTCTTTCATTTAGTAATATGTATTTTGAGTTTCTTCCATAGCTTTCATGGCTTTCATTGGTGGAGCGGCGGGGAGGAGGCTGGAGTTCAACTGACGGATATCTGAGGTGTCGGGGTCTGAAGACTGGGGAGGACGCCTCTAGGCCAAAGACGAGGCCCCTGGGACTGCCTCTCTTCCATACCCTCACCGAGCACCCGCCCTGCCCCAACTCCGCAGGCCCGGCCGACCTCCCTAGCCGCGAGGCCGGCCCTCCTCCATCCACCCATTCAAGGCTCGGCCGCTGCCCACAGCCCCCAGCCGGGCCGACCTAAAGCACAGGGCACCCGCGCATTCGGTGCTGCTGCTCCAGCAACCACCCCACCCCGAGCCCGGCCCCGAACTCAGGAGCCTCTTCCGTTATCCGGTCTGCGGAGCCGCCTGGGAGCGAAAGCCAACAATCGGGAAGTGGGATCCCTCAGCGACCCCGCGAGGGGGCGCGCGTCCGTGCCAGACGCCGGCCTGCCACGACCCTCTCGCAGCCCCTGTCCTCCCCCGGCCGGCGGGAAGGCGGGGACTTGCTCCCCGCGCCACGCGGCTCGACCAATAGGAGCGCGCGCAGCAGGGCTCAGCGCTCAGCGCCCACCGCCTTGGTTACTGGAAACCCGGCGCGCGGGAGGCGAGGTCTGGCCGCTCGCCAGAGGACCCACTCCTTAAGAACTCCAGGTCGTCGCGTGCTATCCCGCGTGTCCCCTGCGCACGCCTGACCACCCCAGTCTCGCTGGCGCACGGCATAGTCCGGCCCGGATGGCTCCCGAGACCCAGGCCCATGGGCCGACCCCGCGCTACTTCACCTGGGAGGAGGTGGCGCAGCGCTCGGGACGCGACAAAGAGCGATGGCTCGTGATTGACCGGAAGGTATACAACATCAGCGAGTTCACCAGACGGCACCCGGGAGGTTCCCGGGTCCTCAGCCACTACGCGGGGCAGGATGCCACGGTGAGCGCTGCCAGACAGGGACACAGGGTGAGGCCGGGCCGGGCGGCCAGGGCCGGAGCTCAGTGCGCGAGACAGGAAGTTTGGCATCCGCGGCCGAACACTCACTTATTTGGGGAAAAGCCGGGAGGCGTCGGAGCATACCTGTTGCCGGGTGACTGAATGTGCTGCGTAGGCGGGATGCAAGGGCAGGAGAGAGGCTGTGAAAAGTGCAGTCTGGGGAGTAGGGATGGAGGCTGGCAACGTGCACACACAAAGGGCCGCGCCGTCCGTCCCTGCGCTCCGTCTGCGACCCCGAGTCTGAGGTCTCCTGGCGTCGACAGGCCCTAGAGCAAGGCTGAGGGAGGAGAGGAAGGAGAGCGGGGATACTGGGTCCCGGGGACGACCGTACTGCCGAGACCTCGAGAGGAGGGGTCAGTGGCAGGGAGAGGGGTTCTTGACCTGTCTTGGTGGCCAGGAGGGGAGCGCTGTCACTTCTGGACCGAGCGTGCTGAGCTATACTGGCTAGCGCGGGCAGGACAGAGAACGAGGGAACTCGGGGGGTATATCTGAGGCGTACGCGCTGTACAGGTGAAGACGGGAGGGCGGGGAAGGGGCTGCACCGGCTGGAGAGGGCTAGCTCCTGCTCGTGCACGGCAGGGAACTGGTGCTGAAGTATGGGGACTGCATAAGCATGCGCTTAGAGAGGACCCCCTGAGCGAGCCTGGAGTTCTGTGGGGAGGTTACCCAGCCTCAGGCCAGTGGAGTCTCCAGCTATTAACCGCGCAGACAGCTGTTTGCACTCCTGGGCTGTAACCTGGGTGCGGGGTCACATCTCTCCTCCCTCGGGCAGCACTGCCGAGACAGCGCGCGCCCCAGCCGCGATCCTGCTGCTTGCCTCTTTAGATAACCAGCTCTCGGAACTAAGGCACTTGGCACCTCCTTTCTGGGTTGGAGAGCTGAGGGTCTTTCCGTGGGACCGAAAGGTTGGAGCGTTCGCTCCGCAGCGTCCCCTCCACCTGTAGCCTAATCCCATTCTTCGGCTTAGCGGCGTGACCTCTTCCGTTGTCCCTACCCTTCGCCCTGCCATCCCAGAGCGTACCTTGAGTTCCCATTATGTCACGGAGGAACCTAACAGGGTGGGGACCCACCCTTCCCTCCCACTCATCAGGCCTGGGAGTCGATGCCGGAGCCTACACTCGTCTCCAGAGTGACTACTGGGGAGCTCAGGCGGTGGCTGAAGGCGAAGGTGTGGATTGGCGCATGCGTAGACGGAGCACCAACCCCAGGTCTTCCTGCAGTGTGACTTGGGGCCGGGTCGGCCGCGGCACGGACCACGATTGGTCCGGGTGTGTGGTGCCACCGGCTGGGAGCTCCGCCCCGGATCCCTCCTTGCTGCTTCCCCTTAGGGCCTGGGACTGTTTGACCTCCCGGGTTAATTTTGTTAATCTCCTCACTGAGGACCTTACCTTGCATAACCCAAATTAGTGCCCTAGAGCAGGGGATGTTCAGAGTGGGAGGGGAAATATGGAACCTCACCCGAAATAGCAGCAAGAGGGAAGGAAGGGGGAGAAGTGCAAAAGTTCCCTGGTTCCGACACATGGAGTCTCCCTCATCACATTTTATGAGACACCCAGAGGAAAGGTCCTTCTGTGGTCCCCCTACCGTGTTTCCTATTCCTTGGTGTGGTGCCCCTCTTACTAGAACACTGATGATGAGTGATCCTAAGGTGTGGACACCAGGGACAGGTCTGAGCATCCTCAAAGGCCAGCCGGCTGGAGGGAGGTGGTATCTGAACTTGACTACAGCCTCCTTACTGAATCAGGAGGATGGCCTTTGGTGTGAGCCTTCCACAAGCTCACAGGGGCAGGGCTGACTTCCTCACTGTTCTACCTTCTCCTCATCCTTGCAGGATCCCTTTGTGGCATTCCACATCAACAAGGGCCTCGTGAAGAAGTATATGAACTCTCTCCTGATTGGAGAACTGTCTCCAGAGCAGCCCAGCTTTGAGCCCACTAAGAATGTGAGACTCTGTTTGCTGTTTGGAGACCCTGTGGTTTTTGAGGGACAGAGGGTAGAAGGAAGGCATAGGTATGGTCACAGGTAACCACAAGCAGTAGTTTTGGGGTATCTCAAGATCCCTGCTTCTGGCTTTGGAACCTGTGGTTTTTACAAGGCCACCACCACTACCATCACCATCCTCAACATGAGACCTATCTACCGAACACACATTATGTGCAAAGCATAACACTATACAATCCTCACACATTTACAGATGGGAAAACTAAGGCTCAGAGAGCTTAAGCAACATGGCCAAGGATGACACCATTAGTAAATGGCAGAGCAGGAGCTTGAATTAATTCTGCTTAACTCCAAAGACCACATGCTCTTAGACATGATCCCATAGCACTGCCTCCTGTCATCCTTCCTCAGTGCTGTGGTATCTTTACCTAGGACTGTGGGCTCCCCACAGCTACCTTGGTGGGAGGTCTTTGAGCTTAAATGAGTCCTTGTCTCCAGCAGGGTTGGGTTGCATCAGGGAAGAATAACACCCCTTCCCTCTCCACTCTTCTACAGAAAGAGCTGACTGATGAGTTCCGGGAGCTGCGGGCCACAGTGGAGCAAATGGGGCTCATGAAGGCCAACCATGTCTTCTTCCTGCTACACCTGCTACACATCCTGCTGCTGGATGTTGTTGCCTGGCTCACTCTTTGGATCTTTGGGACATCCTTCATGCCCCTCCTCCTCTGTACAGCGCTGCTCACCACAGTTCAAGTGAGAGCCCTGGGCTTTTCAAGAGCACAGCTATGCTCAGCATCTGTGGGGAAAGTTCTTTGTACCTTTCAGGAGGCCAAGGAACCCTCTGACCAGGGCAGAGCTGAGGGCATGTGGGAGAGTTGGTGCAGAAAGAGAACACATTCCTTTGTCTGTGGCTTTTATCTGCTCATCATCACTACATGTGATTCATTTCTCTCATTGCCTCTCTAGCTGCTTCTCCAGGGTCCCCTTCTTCCTGTGGAATTTCTCTTGTGAAACTTCATGTTCAGATTCTGCCACAGTCCAGGTGTGCCAAGAACCAAGACTCTGGTTTCTCAGCAAAGCCTGGCTTCCTCCCCACCACAACACTGCCCAACATGCCAATAATGTGTGGGTCCTAATACCTGGCTGTCAAAATCCATTCGCTAAGCTTTCTACTTGCTTGAGTTTGTCCCTGTTTTCTGTAGTCTGGATGTTCAGTCCATCGTAAGTTGCAGAACTCCAGGGCTGGGGACACTGAAGAATAGGGAAGGGATAGATTTGCCCTGGCTCTCATGTGAGTTAGTTAGACCCAGGCTTCCTGACTCCTTTCCTGATGTGCTCTTTTAGGGTACTGCAGGTAGCACAGGCCTAGGTAGATGAAAGAAGAGGGAGAGGCTGAGCAGCTGAGGTCAGTAAGAGGGATGCTGGACCGGTGGGCCGCTCTCAGCACTAACCTTTCTCGCCCAGGTCCAGGCTGGCTGGCTGCAGCATGACTTCGGACACCTATCCGTCTTCAGCAGCTCTATGTGGAACCACCTGCTACATCATTTCGTGATTGGCCACCTGAAGGTCAATGGGACGGGGAGGGGCTCTCTGAAACTCCAGTCAATGAGGGGCTGCGCCGAGGAAGAGGGACACCAGGCTTTCATACTCAAGTCTCTGCTTTTCCATAGGGGGTCCCTGCCAGTTGGTGGAACCACCTGCACTTTCAGCACCATGCCAAGCCCAACTGCTTCCGCAAAGACCCAGACATCAACATGCACCCCATCTTCTTTTCCTTGGGAAAGATCCTCTCTGTAGAGGTGAGCAGAGGTATCATTGAAGGTCTTGGAGAATAAGGACCAGCGGCACAGAGGGCTTGGGGGGAAGTGTTCACAATGCTGTCAGTGTGGATAAGACACTGTGGGCTGGGCTGGCTGGCTATTTGGAAGTTATGGGAGGCAACAGGCAGTCAACGGGCTGCCCAGAACAGTGTTACTTGCCATCCCTAGTGAGTTCAAGCCAGCAGATAGTTATTGCAGAAGGGTACCGCATGCTGCTAAGGATCCAAAGGTTGACAAGATTGTTGGGCAAACCCTGCTCAGGCTTGAAGGTGATGGGTGGCCCTCCTTGCAGATACTTTTTTTAGACATTCCTACCCCAAGCAGTCAACCCCCCGCTCTTTGTATTCCTCTGTCTTAACACTGACATCCGACCATGTCTTCCCCACAAATAGCTACACTGTCTTACTATTCTCTGACGTCCATTACCTAGGATGTTCATTCACTGAGTAATTCTTCCCACCTGCCTAATCCTAGTCTGACTTCCTGGGTGGTCAGCATTGAATTTGAGTTGTCATCTAAGGTTGTGAACAAAAATCATAATGCAGCTGCTAAAGGATGAATGCCTGGGGGTAGATGGAGATCTGGTGAACCCTGAGTGAGCATAAGGCAATGGAAGGCTGTGAATGACCAGTGGAGTTCTTTGAAAAGTTAATTTAAAACTCGTCCCAAGGCTCTAGGCTGTAGTCAGAGTTCTGCCAGGCCCTCCTCCCCAACTTTATGACATTTCAGCATGCCAAGAGTTAAACTGTCATCAACTACATTTCAGTTCTAGGCATGAGTTCAAGACAGCCTGGCTCTCCTTTCCTCTCTAGCCATAAGAAGAACTCTGTGGAAAGGCTTTGGCAGCTCTGGCTGTCCCAGCATCAGCAGCCCTTAACTTGAGGCTTGTGCCTCCTCACCTGGCCACAAGGTCTTAATTTTCCCACTTCCTAAAAAGGGATTTAGTTGGTTTGCTGTATGTCCAACACTGCAGATGATGAACCAGCCCTTGGGTGGCTCCTTGGAGGGTAGTGTGGGTTATTTATTGGGCAGAGCACGGGGCTCTTTTCTGTTGTCACACTATAGAGGATTAAAGAAAAAGATGGGAGTCTTAAGTGGAAGACAACCTTCTCACACCACTGCCTCTGTTGCTTCTTGGTACTGGGGATTTCAGGAAACTCCCATCTGTGGACACTAAAAATAGAGAATGATCTGGGACCAAAATAACTTTGGGGGGGTGGGCATCTAGTTATGAGACTGAGGATAGGCTAGTCTGTTAGTAAATAGGGCTACAGGCTGCTCGGTGCTTGGTTCAGCCTTGCTAGGTCCAGTCTGAGTGTTGATCCCTGGGCTGACCCAGTAGCATCCACCTCAGTGTTTCCCAACTCTCCTGGAGAACAAGGAAGTATAGGGGACACTTCACCCTAAATACAACCTTCCTGGCCTCTGAGAGTTGAAACAGTGGGGCAGTTAGGATCATAATGGCATTTGACTGCCATTCAAGGAGGCAGCCAGTGGTCAAGGCTCCCTTCCATAACAGTCTCTCGAAAGGAGGCTGGAGTTCTGCTCACCCACCCACCAAATAAGACAGATGTTCTCTACTGGCCTCCCCCTCTCGGTTAATGTTGCATGGGGATGAACTTCACCCCCATCTCCAGTTCATCAGCAAGCCTTGCTGCCTCCAAAGCATATCCCAATCCATTGACTTATACATCTCCCCTGCCTCCCATCCCCAGGTCTGGTCCATCTCAGGTCTGGATTGTTGTTCCAAACTCCTCACTGGTCTTCCTTCCACTTACAGTTCATTTTCCCCACCGCTAGCCAGAGTGAGCCTTTAAAGCACAAAGCAGGTAATACCACACCTGTTGAAAGGCCTCCAGGGTTTCCTATCATTGGAATAAACTCCTTACATAGCCTTACCAGGGCTTCTTAAGGCCTAACATGATTTGGCCGTCCCTAGTTTTCTGGCTGTATCAGCCATTCTCTCCTGTTGCCTATATTCCCAGCCATACTGGTCTTTCCATCCCTTGAACATCCCAAACCTTTGTTTACCCTGCTTTAACTGCTCTTACCCCCAGTGTCTACTCTGCTGGCTTCTTTTCATCATTCAGGTCAGCTCCCATGACAGGACCCCAGGGAAGCCATGTGTGACTACCCTCCCTCACTTTCTATCATACTTTCCTGTTTTTAATATGTAATTACTTTGAGCTCTGTTTACAAATTTATCACCAGCTTCCTCTCCTCAGATTATAAGCTCCACAAGGGTAGGAATTTTGTGTTATTCACCTCTGTGTATCCTCATACCTAGAACAGTGCCCCACACTTAGCAGATGTTCAGTAAATATTTGTGCAATGAATCAGTTAATGTAGAAAGAATGCTTCATTTAGCAGAAGTAGCTTGCACAGAATAAGGGCTCAATAAATGACCTGTCAGAACAGAGAGTGGAATCTTGAAAAAAGGATGAGCCAGCATTCTACTCTGGGGTAGAGTTCCTCCTGTGCTCTGTGGTCACCTGGTCACCAGAACCAACCGGGGCATAAGGAGCAGAAGGAGCCATCAAATGAGACCACAGAGCTTTGCTGTCATGTTTCTGTGTACTCACAGCAGGGGTTCCAGGCTGACTGGCTGACCTGGTGGCCCCAGCCTGCCTCTACAGCAGCTCAGCTTACAAAATCAGCACCACCAAGGGAAGACCTTGCCAGAACCTTCAGATTGCCAAGTTGTTCTTGGTATTCTTTCCCCAAATATTTGCCAAACATTGATTAGCTTTCAAGGGATTTTAAAAGGTTCATGCTGACATTTGAAGAGACTAAAAGACTTTGGAGAAGATCAGGGGCTGGATGTAGAGGAATACTGCCCAGTATAGGGGTAAAAATGGTTGTCTGTAGAGACCCTGATGTCAAAAAAGTAGCAGATGGAGAAAGGAACGGGGAGGGGGCTGGAAACCTGATGGGTGTCTCTGGACGAACACAAGGAGCCCTGAGGACCCACGGACTGTTGTGCTCACGCCTTGTGTGGGTGCAGGCCCCCAGGCCCCCTGCCGTGGTGTGGTGCATTTGGCAAACGGCAGCCCGGGCCTCATGTGCCAGGTGCTGGAGGTAAGGCTGGGCCTGTTGGAGCCTTCCAATGACACCAACAAGCCGACAGCCCCTGCAGTAGGCGTCAGCGCCTAAGGGGAGAAAGCCGAGGTCACAAGGGGAGAGGCATGAGTGACTGGTCTGTAAGTGCTGACTTGTGTTTGCTTTGCTTCACAGCTTGGGAAACAGAAGAAAAAGTACATGCCATACAACCACCAGCACAAATACTTTTTCCTGAGTGAGTGTCCTCATCCAACATGCCGGGCTGCCTTGGCAGGGGCTGTTGAAGGGGTGTGAGGAAGAAATGGCTCTCCAGGGATCATGGTATTTGAAGTGAAGGCCGGAGGAAGTTCTCCACCTCTAACAGGGACCCTGCAAGGGGGCAGCTGCCTTCTCAAGGAGCAAAATCAAGAGTTAGGCTAATGTTTGGTCAAAGGTCACTTGTATGGGGGGCAAACTAGCTTCTCCGGACCCACCCTGGCATGTACAAGAGAACTGAGTGGTAGGAGGCCATCCCAATTAAATCTAAGACCTCACTTTAAATTTTGTTAGACACAGACCAGGGCCAAGGTGACTCAGTGGGGCACAGTCCAACCCCCAGGGGAACAAAGGCAGGCTAGCTATGGGAGGACCCAAAGAGGGAGCTGAGGAGGAGAAAACACTTCGGTGGTTGTCTTAAGCTCTTTCTGAAGACTGCTATAAATTCCCTGCTTTAAAAGTCTGCTCTATAATGCCTCAAAATTTCTTAAGCTCCTTTAAAAATTCACATTTTGAAAAGGAAAGGAGGAATTTATCTTAACTGCCTATTACCAACCATCCCTACTGGAGAAAGTGGAGTGGGATAGAAGGGTGGAGCAGAAATGTTCGGACAGGGCAACTCTGGGAGTATCAGCAGTGCCTTTTTAAAGGCAGGGGAAGGGGGAGGGTATAGCTCAGTGATAGAGTGCATGCTTAGCATGCACAAGGTCCCGGTTTGATCTCTAGCACCTCCATTAAATAAATAAACCTAATTACCACTACCTCCCCCCAAAAAATAATTAAAAAAAAAAGTTAAAGGCATGGAAGCGGAGCACTTCCCACTGGTGGAGCTTGTTTCCCCAGCTGTCCTCTTCCACTGAAAATGCCAGGCTGCCCCGCAACCCCTGGGCTGGCATCCTCGTGGGAGACTTTGCTTTCTTCAAGCTTGCCTTCATGCCCGCCTTCCGTGCTGTCAGTCCTGTTGGACTGAGGAGTGCAAGGCAGCTAGAGGGCAATAGGAGGAGATGGCAGAGGGGGCAGCCCGTGCTGGAAGCCGTCTGTCCAGCACCAGCTGGCCCTTAAATGACCCTCATGCTGCTCACACCTCCTCCCTTGTCTCCATTTCATTCCTAGTTGGGCCCCCAGCCTTGGTGCCTTTCTTCTTCCAGTGGTATGTTTTCTATTTTGTTTTCAAGAGGAAGAAGTGGGTGGTAAGTATCCATGGCTCTAAAATCCCACATCCTTTGTCTCCAGTACCCTGAGGGATGGGAAAGGGGTTCCCCGGGGGAAATCCCACTGAGATTTTTCTCCAGGCCTAATTTAGAGCAAAGTAGAGCCAGGTATAGATGTTCCTTCTCTCTAGGTGAGGTGATTTGGGCTCAGCAGGCAGCCTGACTCCTAATGCCCTATTTCACTAACTCAGTATCTCCTGAGGTTATTGTACTGGACTTAATAAAGCCAGGGGCTAGGCTGGGGAGGGGGAAGATGAATAAGAGATGGCACCTACTCTCAGGAAACTTCTGATGAAGCAGGATGTGGTTGACACCAGAGAAGAGGTACAGGCAGAATGTTCTGGGATTCCAAAAGGGACCTGACTGCATCTGGCTGGATAGCAGGCATCAGAAAAGACTTTGTGAAGTCACTTTTCTAGCCAGACTTGGAGGACAGGCAGAGGTGGAGGAATGGGAATGGACTCTGAGCAGAGAAGCTGGGACTTAAGGGGCAAATGGCCACTAGACATGTTGTGGAGGACTTGGTTGTCAGGGGAGGAGTGTGGTGTGGAAAACTGATTGGAGATTTGACCAGGGCACTGGCACAGACTGAGCCATGGTCCTGGAAGTTTCATTTGGCAGCATGATGAAGGGATGAAGGACGGAGATGGGTTGAGAGGAACTGGAGGCAGGGCGACCTGACAACTGTGAAGGAAACAGGCAAGGGGGGCTGGGGGACACCACTAGGAATGGAAGGAAGGCACAGTGGCCCCGGATGGTGCAGGACTGGGCAGCTGAGAGAGGCTGCCGTGACTGCTTCATTCTGAGGACCTGGGAGAAGGGCTGCACCATGTGAAGAAGTAGGTGCCGTGAGAGAAGAGGTGCTGTGTGCCAGTCGCAGTGCTCTCTGCCTCTCACTGCAGGACCTGGCCTGGATGACCTCCTTCTATGCCCGTGTTTTGCTCACTTATGTGCCACTGCTGGGACTGAAAGGCTTCCTGGGCCTTTTCTTCATTGTCAGGTAGTGTTTGATAGGGGAGGAGGGACTGGCGCAGAGAAGCAGATGTTTGGGAGTAACCAGTCTGGTCTGGGGGCTGTGCTGGGGCTTCAGACAGCCTGGCTGAGGGAGGGTAAGAATCTGAGCTCTGCTTGTAGTGGTTTCATCTGTGTGCCAAATCCACCAGGCTCCTGGAAAGCAACTGGTTTGTGTGGGTGACACAGATGAACCATATCCCCATGCACATGGATCACGACCAGAACGTGGACTGGGTCTCCACTCAGGTGAGGGACAGTCACTTGGAATACCTGGGCGTAACACAACTAATTAAAAGGGTGGGTGGGCACAGATGCAGGGTAGAGAGTAGGGGGCAGTAACAACAGAAGTTCCCAAACCCTGCCTCATTGGCTTGAAACTTCTCTCCTGCCACCATGTGGAGAAGAGGACCAAGGACAGTCCAGCTTTGCCTGGAGAAGGCTGGGCTTGGGCTGGCCCTTCCATCCGGTCCCTGAGCCCTGCTCCCACTAACCTTTTGCTCCAGATCCAGGCAACATGCAATGTCCACAAGTCAGCCTTCAATGACTGGTTCACTGGCCACCTCAACTTCCAGATTGAGCACCAGTGAGTAAGGAGGCCTGGGAGGCAGGGACCTGGGGAGGGTCCATGTAGGAGGGGAACAGGGGGAGCAGAGGAGTCGGAGACACTCGACTGTTCCTTGTTCTCCCTGAAGTCTTTTTCCCATGATGCCTCGACACAATTACCACAAAGTGGCTCCCCTGGTGAAGTCTCTGTGTGCCAAGCATGGCATAGAGTACCAGTCCAAGCCCCTGCTCTCAGCCTTCGCTGACATTATCCAGTGAGTATTTGAACCTGGGAAGAGGGCTGGGAGGGCGGGGAGAGGGCAGGGCCGTGGGGGCAGTGGTGAAGTGCGGGGTGGGAGCAACAAGCAGGTTTCCTTGGTTGTTGGGAATGGAGGGCACCAAGGTAAGGGCAGGGCGCTCTACTGGCCTTGTGGCCAGTTCAGGCCTTTGCTCTCAGTGCCATGGCCCAAGGTCTTTCTCAGAAGTGAAGGGGGCCTTACACCAGGGAGAGCAGCCTCCATACCTCTCTAAGAGCCACACTGCTACCTTTCTGGTGGGTAGCTTGGTTTTTAGGCTTTGCCCTGTCTCCCTCACTGCTTGCTCCCATCTTGCCCCCACAGCTCACTGAAGGACTATGGGCAGATCTGGCTAGATGCCTATCTTCACCAATAAGAACAGCCTCCCATCTGGAAGAAGAGCCTCTGGAGCCAAAGCAGAGGGGAGCTTGGAGACAATGCCACTACAATCCTAACATTCAGGGCGTGGGTGGGTGGGGTGGGTTTGAGGAGATAAAGACTCTGGCTCAAACCCTTCCCCTTTATCTTCTAGGCACAGATCTGAGACCCAAAGATGGGTAGAGGGAACATGCAAGCGCCCTCGAAGGAGGGATGTGGCTGTTGGCACAGGGATGTGAGAGTTTTGTTTCCTTTTTCAGTTGGCAGATGCAGGTGGTGGTTGTGCAAGAGGGAGTCTGGAGGGTGTTAAAATGGTGGTGGGGGAGGGGAGCAGTCTACTGAGCCCAGAAATCAGGAAGAGATTTAACACTAAAATCCCAACCCAGGAAAGGGGTGAGCTCATCCCCTTGGTTGACTTCTCAGTGCCTTCTCTAACCTCACTTACAAACCTGAGATTTGCAGGCTGGAGGAAGACAGCAGCTAAACTTTTTGAGCAAGATTTAGACAGGAAGCATCAGTACTTAGAATTCCGAGGCCTGGCATAACACAGTGCCTGGGAGCTCAGCTCACTCCAGGACTAGGTGTGACCTATGTCTGCCTTGAGAAGCAAATCTTCCACTTTTAGAAGTGGGGAGAGCAAAGGCCAGGACTGTGGTATTGGAGGCAGCTGGCCCTGAAGGATCCTGTCACTACTGAATTTGGTCTCATGTTCCCTCCAGGGTACCAAGGGAGCATGAGGTCCCAGGTCTTGCCAAAACAGCCTGGAGAGAGAGTTGCTGACCACTAAAATCCTTTCAGTTTTTGATTCACCTCTTGTAACCACCACCCAAGGAACACTCCTAGGAAAAGGAATCTACTTGCTCCATAAGTGAGCAGACGGGGCACTTAAGTCATTACTCGCATAGAAACAAACAGAGGCTCCCGTGGTTTCTCTTTACTCCCCTACCTGTAAGTTTTACAAAGTAGCAATTAGCACAGGTGGGCCACAGTCAATTACCAGTCACGAGGAAGACACAAATTTCAATCATAAGGAACATAAGGGCTAAGAAATTTCCTATAACTCAAATTACGTTATAGCACTACTTGTGAGCAGGAGCAGTGTCATAGTTCTAACCAGAAATAGGAAGACAGAAACACAGAAGTTTGTGATCATCATTGCTGTCATTCAGCATGGCACAGCTCTGGCAACTCTGTTCAAGTATCTTTCTCTTCTGGAGACCAAGAAGGAACTAAGAAGAATCTCTTACAACTTTATCAGTTTAATACTGAAATTTCTGAATCTGGTTTTTAAAAGAAACACTTTAACTCACCTCTACAAAGTGATCATAGGAATGTGCCATGGAGGTCTTGCCTTAACTGCTAGGGCTTATCAACAGCCACATTCTCTTCCCTCCTCACACCCACTGCCTTCCAGTTCAGGAGAGGGGATTATCCACCTGTTCAACAGCATCTAGTCTAAGCATATTGAGCATTTTGGACACTGGTAAGAGAGAACGTCAAACTGGAAGGAAAAACAGCACTGGGAGAGTTCACATTTAGTTTTGGCAGAGGATGGAAATTAGGGAGATGAAGGTCCTAAGGCATGTTGGGGCGGGGGTACCCCCTATGGAAGGGCTATTGTGATTAGATATTGTCAAAACCAAGACTAAAACACATACACATGGGGGAGAATGAGTTACACATTTGGAGCAGGACCTGTTTTTAAACATTCTGTGTGGAAAAATTAGAAGCAGAATCACTCCAGAACAAGTGCTGATCCCAGCCTATCCAGCCATCTTGCTTTAGGCCCAGGCTGCCCAATCTGAGCAGAGCTAGTGAGGCTTATTGAGCCAAGTCCAGGTCCTCAAAGCACCTCAACTACTGTGGCCTTCTCTCCTCAGCCCAGACCAGTGTGGTCTCACACAGCCACAAAAGGACAGACCATTGACAAAAAGCTCAGGCTGTTATCTCAAATCCAAACTGGCAAGAGAAAAAAAGATTTGAGATTAAGTCGCCTCAGGTAACAGAAAGTGGCAGAACTAACATTTGAACTCACTTTTTTAAAAACTCCATCTTTGTTCCTTTCATGTTCCTACCACTTTGCCATAGGCATTTAAATTAGATCCACTATCAGTATCCTCTTTGTATGTGGCAACTTGATTACCACATCCCAATGAAGTAAAACTAAGAAATAAAGTTAATTTTGACCAAATGAAGGCTATTTGCTTATAATCCATAATGTTCTCCGTACCTGTTGACAGGACCCCCTGTACCTCTGCTCTAAGTTACCGTCTACCTCTATGGCTCAAACTTCTTCCTGAACGTAAGTCCTCATATAGACTCCCCTTTGTAAACCCCTTGTGCAGACAGAGGATCATCAGGACCCTCTGGAAAACACCAAGGCACAGGTGGACTATGGCAAGGAAAAGCCTAGCCCTTTCCTTGACACCCATATGCTCAAATGCTAGATTGCCTACGTACACTAGCCAGGTTTTAACGCATCGTTTCTTCCTGTCATAAAGCAATGCCCTCACCCTTTTAAATTCATACCTAGTCTTAGTGCTAGTAGTCTCCATAGGTTTCCTTTTTGCCTAAATCTTTCTTTGCAGGCACAGTACCTCAGAGCCAGGCTGTCAATCAAAGCCCTTTTAACTTATACCCTACTAGAACAGCTCTCTTCTTTGAGCAAGAATATTAGAACATGATAAATAAAATCTGTAGGACTGATTTCCCTTGCAGTGTGCAGTAGTTAATAACTCCTAGAAAAGATATGGCAGCTCAACTTCAAAAAATAAGGAAAACAAACCACTCTACCTGCTACCATAGGGGACAAGCCCTTAAGTAGAACTACTGCACTGAGGCAGTAACTCCTAAGAAAACTTACCTCTGGCCCCCATCACCATTACTGCAGGCTTAGAATTAAGAAAATGGAGTTCAAATAAGTTGAGTGGCTTGGCTCAATCTGGGAAAATTGGTTTCATGTTGTCAGTTGCTAGATAGCAGTGAACAAATAGATCCCTGCCCTCAAGGGAGGACTTTCTGTCTACAGTGGTTTTCAGAGTCCCCTAAGTATGAGGTGTTGCTGGGGTGGAGTAGGGGGATCTATATCCCATTCCTGTTTCAACCAGAGGAGCTCCGATATCCTGAGATTCTATATAAGATTTCACTTGAAAGATAGGTTGCTCCATTTAAAAACTACTGGTCTTTAGTCTTCTCCTTGCTTAATTTGTCAAAACACTGTGAAATTTCAGACCGCTTAAGTGTCCTGGTTAACTTTAAATGGCAGTTAAGTGACAGGAATGCTAAAAAAAAATTACAAACTCAAACAGCCCCTACCAAGTTTCATCAGTGTTATAAAACTTTCAATGTACCAAAAAAAAAAAACTCTATGAGAAATAGCAACCTGAAGTTGATGTCACAAAAAGAACAAGAAAGTGATTTTTGAATGGCAGCTTTCATTTTATAAACTAGATGCTATGAAGTAGTTGATCTAAGTTGTGAGGATTTCTCACAAGAGCTCTTTATCTCATACAGTAGATGGAAAAACTAGAAAGCCATTCAATTTATCAAAACTCCTTTGCCAGCAAGATAAACTAGGAGCATCCTCTAAATGGCTGAAGTACCGCCAGAGCTGCTTTGGCCTGTCTGTTGAGCATGGCGCCATCTTGTGGCCACTCAGACCACTTGTTATTACAGTGCAATTCCAGCATGTTACCTTGGAGTGAAAAGGAGAACATTTTACACTGTCTGAAGCCTGGAGCACTTAAGATATCTTCAAACGTTCTCAAAGAACATGACATTCTGGTTACTCTATAATTTTATTGACTCTTTTATCCTCATACCTTTAAAACAAAAACTGCACGTGAAAACAGCATCTTATCCCAAAGTTTCAACTTAATTACCAGAGAGGCCATGAGAGGAATGCCACCACCTCATGCCTCTGAATAACCACTACAAAGACTGGAGTTATGTAGCAAGTTCAAGTTTCTGTCCACCCCAGGACACACAGCTGGTAATCAAACCCTTGTTGCCATCTCCAGGGACTCAAACTGCCTGCCTGTCTGAATTCTCTGTAGCTCTTCCCATCTGTTTAAGGCTTAGTCTTCCTGACAGCTGTCCCTCAGGGTGGGTCAAGGCTGAGCCAGAGAAGCCAGTCTGGTTCCATGGTTATTGCCCACCAGCCGGCCAGGCAGAAAATCATTTCCAGTCTTTTGTCTCCACCTTTTATCTCCTTTTCCCTTCTTCAAAATTTGCTGCTAAGGCTTTCATGTAACAATGGATTCAGTGTCCATTAAATTGCCTGAGAGGCGGTTTGAGCCTGACATACTTTCCTGAGCTAAAAACAAAAAAACAAAACAAAAAAAAGAAAAGAAAAGAAAAAACAAAGTACCTTTGGCCTTCCTGCCATGAGGTCAAGTAACAAAGGGAAAAGCACTACTGAGAAGGGTGGTGCCTGGGAAGCAATCTGCGCCCCCCAACTGCACGGAGGTTCCTCTAGAGCGAGTTCTTGCGGGTACAGCAAGGCAGATATCCTGGGGTCAAGGAGGTATAATGAAGGGAAACCTGTTTATTTCCCCCTTTTGAACTTCCCTGCTGCCCCAGTCTTGGCCTTCTTTTTAGCGGATCCTTTGGGTTCTGGCTCCTTGCGCTTAGCTGAAGAGAGAGAGCCGGTCACCTTGAAGAAATCATCCAGGCGGCCCTGGGTGCTGCCCTGGCGGCTCTTGCTCAGCCGCCTGACTCCACTGCGGATTCTGTCCTCGGAGAACTGCTTTTCACCACACATGAACTTGACAAGCTCTTCTTCATTTGGCTCGCTCCACTTCAGCTCCACAGACTCTGGGTCCAGCACCTCAGGCTCAAGGAAGAGCTGCTGGGCCTCTTTGTGGAGCCAGTTCTCTGGCACAGGGTACTTGTTGGGGTCGAGCCGACGCACGATCTCCTCAATGCTCTTGTGCTTCTGGATGAGGTCCACTGCCCGCTTGGGCCCAATGCCCCGAATGCTCTCACAGTAGTCACTGCCCAGCAGGATGCACAGATCCACAAACTGCTCCTGATTCAGGCCCAGCTCCTGCAGAATTCGGCTAAGGTGGAATTCCTGGATGGGCAGCTTCTTGGCCTCGCTGGCAGTCAGGTGCCGCATGAGCACAGGGCTGCCAAAGGTCAGGCAATCCATGTCCTCTGTGGCTGCGGCGTAGACTTTGCCAGCCTTCACCAGGGCCGCACAGCTAGCTTCTGCCTCACTGGGCGCGTCGAGGTACGGGATGCCCATGAGGCTCAGGAGATGCTTGCACTCATCGTTGTGTTGCTTGGTGACCTTCACCAGCCGCTTGGTAAACTTCTCCACCTCCTCCTCGGCGCCGGCAGCCTGGGCCTGCTGCAGCTGCTTCTCCGCCTCAGCCCGCCGCTCGCTGCGTTTGGCCAGCTCACCTGACTTGAGCTGTGGCGGCTTGCCATCAAAGACATACACAGGCTTGATGCCGTTCTCCATCATGCGGATGGTGCGGTAGAACATGCCCATCAGGTGACTGGTGGTCTCACCCTCCTCATTCTGCAACACATCCCCACCCTGGCGAACAGCAATCAGGAACTGATAAATGCTCATGGAGGCATCAATGGCCACCTTGCGGCCAAAGTAGCTCTTGATGTCATTCTCCCGGATGGCACCAGGGGCCACATCAGCAATCAGTTTGGCCAGTCCTTGAATCCCCATAGCAACACAGAAAAGGGATGGCTGAAAAAGAAAGTCAAGTAAGACAAGGAAGAACTTAAAGGATGAAAAAGAAGCAAAGGTTACAATGGGTGCTATCTCACCAACTTCACTTGCCGTCAGCTAAACAAATTTAGCACAACAAAAGGACACCAGGTCAGCACTAAAGAAGAACAAGACCAAGTTACCATCGTCAAGAAACTTACAGTCTAGCAACGAAGTCTGCTCAGTTAATACTAAGGATTCCTGAGTATCAGAAACTGAACCGGATGCTAAGTGGAATAAAATGCTGCTGAAGTCCTTGAGGGACTGAAAAGTTTTGTGGCTACGGCAGCAACACGGCAAGCGTGAAGAAAGGGCTACAGCAGACATCTGCCTCTAGGATCAGCAAGTCCAGAGGGCCTGGCCAGCTTGAGGAGTCCAGGGATCACAATGGCAGAACTGGCCCCTGAAGGACAGGCAAATCCCAGTTAGACAAAGGTCAGGAGAGACAGATATAGAACAACCAAAATACATGGCTGAATGTGGAAAGTAGTAAAATAAACTTATGAGTATCTGTCTTCTTGCCAATTCATGAACAATGCATTCGTTCCTCCTCTGTAGCTTTTTACCATTCATTGAACATCCCCAAAGTATTCCTTCAGCTCAACTCCTCTTAGCAGCTCTGATGGTTAGTTTTGTGTGTTAACTCGTCAAGGCCATAGAATCCAGTTATTTGATCAAACGCTAAGCCAGGTGTTGCCGTGAAGGTATTTCATAGATGTGGTTAACACCTATCTTAGTTTTCATTAAGTAAAGGAGAGTGCGCTCCATAACGTGGGTGGGCCGCATCAAATCAGGTGAAAGGCCTTACAAGCAAAAACAAGTTTCACTGCAAAAATCATGCCTCAAGACTGCAGCATCAACTCCTACCTGAATTTCCAGCCTGCCCACCATCCTACGATTTTTCCAACCCCTACAATCACCTGAACCAATTCCTTAAAGTAAGTCTCTTTAACTATGTTCATATTCTATATCCTATTTTGTTCTGTTTCTCTGGAGGATACAGCAGCTTTGAAGGACTGGCAAAAATAACATCTGAATGGGAGTAATGTGGCTTTCTCAACACTGCTCTCATCTCTCTTCAACATCCTCTTAGCGCTTCAGAGTTTCTACTTCTATCATGATGTTGTTTTTGTTTTAACTCTTTCCCTTTGTATTTTCTTTCCACCACTAAGTCCGAAATGTGAACTCCATAGCTCCGACCCCACCCCAAGTCCTGATCTAGGGACCTGGCATGCTGTACTCACTCAGCCCAGTACTGCATTTCTGTGGTTCAGGCCCCTTAACCAAGTATTTCCTAGGGCACTATTTCCCAAACTTCAGTCAGGCCCAAACCACTCTCACAATTTTTTGCCACTTCCAACTAAAACTTGTACTTTTATTCATTTAATATTTTCTTTATACGGACACCATTTTCTAAAAACTAAGTTGAAAAAGAGAACTCCTCCTAAGCAATAATACCTATATTATATCAGTTACATTTTAACAAGTGTTACATGAAAAACTATTAAAAAAGACTTTTGGGGGTGCCACTTAAAGTCATCATGTACCACTGGCGGGATGTGTCCAACACTAAGAAATATTACACTAGGCCTTCTAATCGTTCCCACTCTTCCTTCACAGGGCTCTTTCTAGTTATTATTATTTTTTGATGGGGGAGGTAATTACGTTTATTTATTTATTATTTTATTTAATGGAGGGACTGGGGATTTAACCCAGGACTTTGTGCATACTAAGCACACGCTCTACCACTGAGCTACACCCTCCTCCACAACAGGACTCTTTCTAAAGTGTAAAGGACCCTGGTACATTCCTCTTCCCAGTTAAGTCCTCAACATGGCATCAAGACCTTTCATGCTCTGGTTTCCAACTTACAGTCTGGGAACCTAAAAGAAAGGCTGGCATAAGGCCTGCCCTTTCTCACTTTTGCTCAGCCGTGCCCCTCCTCCCACCATCCTGCACAGCCCTTTCTTCAAGGTCCATCTCATTGTAGTTCCCCCGTGAACGACAGCAGCCTTGAACCTAGGCATCAGCATTTACCACCTGGGTAATATCACTAAGTCACTTCGTGGGTGACAGTAGTGAGTCATATGGGATTGGTCTTCTCATCTACCAAACAGGATGATAACCGTGCCTGCCTTGCAGAATTACTGCCAGGGTTAATTGAGATAACAGACTTTGAAAACCCCGGACATATACTAGGTGCGCTGTAAAAGTTCCCTCTCCAGAACTCACTCGTTTTTTTGGTTTGTGCCTCAAGCTAGCTGCTTTGCTAGAACGTGTACCGCGGGGACAATGCCTTGTTAGCCGGATATCCTCCCACTGCGTCCGACAAAGGCAGACAGGAAAGCGATTTGAACAAGTGCAGTTCACATAATGTCTCTCCTCCAGGATCTCAGTCACAATACACAACGACCCCGTGAGGTGGGAGTTATTATCCTCTTTCTATACATGAAGAAACGGGCTCGGACATTAAGCAACTGGCCCCCAGCTCGCAGCGAAAAGTGGCGGGACCGCCAGCCAGCGAATCCCGCGCTCGCTCCGCCCTGCGCGCGGCAGCCGCCCGTCTCCCCCAGTCCCCCGCGCAAAGCGGGCCCGCAGCTATCGGAGACGCTTCCCGCGGGTCTCACCTGGCCTCTGGAGCGCTAGGCCTCGTTAGCTAACGCTTGCTCCCGCGAGACCCAGGACAGACCTCAGGCCGACTCCCTTCTCAGTCCCGCTGTTCGCTCACCACTAGCAGCCGGTAGGCTCTCGCTCCGCCGCCTTCCAAAGCCCGCGCTCGTGTCACGTGACCTGCCGCGGCGCACAGCCTTCTGGGAAGTGTAGTACAGACCCCGGCCCCCTTGGCCAGTTTCTCTCACGGCAAACAGTCCCGCCGGGGTTAACTGACTCGCTCAGCGACCCGACCGTACTCTTCTCCATCGTTTGCCCCTACTCAACCCAAGGTCCCCGCAGACCCCAGATCCCGCCACACAGGCAACCAGAGGACTACAAGTCCCACAATTATACTTGCGCTGATGCACTTCCTCTTCCGGCTGAACAGAGCGCCTGCTCCTGCCGACGTGTTGTTCCGGTGGCTGAGCGGCGGATTGCCTTGTGCCCGGCAAAATGGTGAGAGGGCTGAGGGGAGTTCCGGATAGGGCTCCAGGGACCGCTAGGTACCTGTCCCACACCCTATTTCTCTCGTAGAGGCCTCAGACGCCCGCGGTCCGGAGGACAGGAGGCTCCTGGATCCTCTGGCTTGGGCTGAGGGGCGGGGAAGAGAAGCGCCTTGCCGTGGAATTCTTAGGCTGAAGTTTTGATTTACTCGGCTTCTGTTCTCTATTGATACGGACGAGGGGTGTAGGGTGCACTTCTAATACCTTCGAGTTTTTAATCTGTTACCTTTGATCAAGCTGTTATCTCTGTCTGGAAAGTTTCTCCCCCCTGCCGAACTCGTACTCATCCTACAAGGCCCTGGGTAAACGTCACCTTCTTGGTGAAGCACTTCCAACTGTCTCGGGCACTTGTCCACTCTCCTGGGAGCTCCCACAACCTATGTAAGACCTCTTGCCACGTGTCATAGACTTCTTTGTTATCTGCCACGGCTCCTAGTGACCACCAGCTGACGTGCCTCTAGCCCTGAAATGATGGTTTATTCATCTTTGTAGTCCCAGTGCCAAACACGGGGCCTGCTCAATCAATGGCAGCGATTGTTTTTATCATTTTCAGGGGAGGCATAAATGTTTACTGAATTGAATTCCAGTGTGTCTCAGAACAATGGGGTCAATTTACTTCTCTAGAGTTGTTATGTTCTGGATTATAGAAGCGTTGGCTGGTGGGTGACAATGGAAGTTAACATTTGTACAGAACTTTACGTTGACAGCCCTCTTTCACAAGCATTATCTCATAATTTTCCCTATAACCTTGGGAAGGAAACAAACACCTATTGAGCAACTGCTCTATGCCAGGCATTGAGTTAGATGCCATGATGTTAGTCATCTTTCTTACATCATACATCAACTTTGTGAATGAGATATGATTGTAATCACTTAACTGAGACACATGTTATTCTATAGAGCCAGAATCTTAACTTACGTCTTTTTCCTGTAGTTTCTGAGATGCCTTAATAGTGTAGTGAGAAGAATACAGAATTAGACGTTGAGATCTGGGTATCAGTCCAGATTCTGTCTTTCAGCAGGGATTCTTAGCTTGGTGTCTACAGACATGGGTCCATAAAGCTCCTAAAATTATAAAGCGAACTTTTTTTTGTACGTGGTTCTTCCCTGGCAGAAAGTCCATACCTTTCATCACATTTTTTTCATGGTGGTCAGAGGCCTTAGAAAATGTTAAGAACTATTGGTCTATAGCTCATCAGTCACCTTCTGTGTCTCAGCCTCCTTGTCTCATATTGAAAAGACAAAGTGCCACCTTAGTTTAAGATATAATTGTAATTGTTGTCATTCCCAAACTGAATCATTTGATGGTGGGTCTGAAGGATTTCCACATTTTCCAGGCCGAAATAAGCTTCTAGCAGTCACAGCAGCACAAGACTCCTTGATAATCCCATAGTCCCTCCAGGTTGAAGTCTTGGGGTTCTTTGACAGCTCTGACCTCATGCCTTCCCATAGGAGCTTGAGGCCATGAGCAGATACACCAGCCCAGTGAACCCGGCTGTCTTTCCCCATCTGACCGTGGTGCTGTTGGCCATTGGCATGTTTTTCACTGCCTGGTTCTTCGTGTATCCTTTTACTGAGCATCCCGTGAGCCAGAATTAGTGATGTGGGAAACTGAAGGAGAAACCAGGGCAGGTATATGCACCCTGCCAGTTTTGTTCTGGTGTGGGGATGGAGGAAGGTAAGGAGATTGAGGGAAGGCTGTTGATGTCCGAAGTCAGGTTGTGGCCTTATTTTCCAAGTTCAAGTGAGCTCAGTTTGCCCTTCAGATTTCCAGGACAGTAAGCAGAGGGCCTGGACTGAAGGCTAGGGATGGGGGGCCTGAAGTTGGAGAAATGGTATAAGGAATGGTGTGCTCAGGTGTCAGCGGATCTGAGGGCAAGTCCCAGCTCTGCCACTCAACAGCTGGCCCAGGGAAAGTGACCTAACCCTGCTGGGCTTCATTTTCTTCATGGGTGGTGGAAGGGTGGTAGGAGAACCAGAGTCTAGGTCATCTCTTGGGCCCCTTTTCCTGTCTACACCAAGCCAGACAAGCTTCTCAGAAAGCCTTTAGCCCATATTTTTCTCCCAGTGATGCCCTGCCCAGGTTCCCTGACCTGTACAGTCCGTCTCTTGGCTTCTCCTTAATTGCCCTGCCAGATATGAGGTCACCTCCACTAAGTACACTCGGGACATCTACAAAGAGCTCCTCATCTCGTTGGTGGCTTCACTCTTCATGGGCTTTGGAGTCCTCTTTCTGCTGCTCTGGGTCGGCATCTATGTATGAGCTCCCAAGGGTAAGTGTGGTGGCGATGGGGACACCAGAGAAGCCTCCCCACACTCACATCAGCAGGAACCTCAGGCCTGCTTGACCCCTTGGTTAATGGAGACAGACTCAGCAGAATGGATAGGGATATTAGACACATATGCCTCTTTCCCTGTCCCTAATGGGGATTTAAGCCAAGTGGGATGGACTTTGTCAGTTTGGAGTTCTCCACGCTGCTCGAGGCCTCAGTCTGTGGCTTTGGGATGTTCTATGCGGGGCTGTGGGCACAGGCATTGAGTGGTTACACAATTGCGTTCTTTCAAGTCACACGCCAGTGACTTGGAGAACTGCTGGAGAGTGGTCCAATACAGGACCTGGATCCGGGGGTGGCCGTAAGGAGAACCATTTGAGTTTGTTTCAGTGTTTTCAGTCCTTGAAATAAATCTTGACTAAATAACTGAAAAACAAAACAAAACTTTGTCACAGATAAGCCACCAAATTGGTCACTGAGAATCAATCAGCTCTGGTGGCTTTGCTTCCAGGGACTACCTGTCAGCCCTTGCCCTGGGAGCACAGGGGCTCAGTAAGAAAAGTTGATGGAGAAATGGGTCACTGGTCTCATTCTGATACCCTTCTCTTTCAGGTTCCAACTTGGCATCACTGAATCCTTGCTTTTGTAAATTAATTTTTTTTTTAACTCTTGCTGGAAGTATCCCACCTGCTGCTCACAATAAAGATGTGTGACAGCCCTGTCTGGTGCCCGTTCTGCAGGGTGGGAGTGGTGCTGGGGCTGGGACCTCCGACTTCCCAAGTCCCACCCCTTCCCGTTTCTCTTCTGCCTTTCAGATGGTTCCTGCTGCTGGGAAGCCCTGCCCTCCACCTGCTAGGGGTGAGGGGGGAATTGGGGGGGGGTGTCTTGTCCTTGGAATTGAAGGCTCACCTGTGGATAGGAAGGGGCTGGGCCTACCTGATTCTGTTGCTTCTAGGGCAAACTTCTCTAGAAACCTGCACCAGTCAAGTCTGCCCTGGGCTGGTCCCCTCCTCTAAATAAAAGGCTCAGCTTTTCCCAAAGGTGGCTACTTTTAACCCAGGCAGGGCAGTGGCAGGTCTGTGGGGTGTGGCTAGGGGAAGGGGCTGCTGTATCCTGTTCCCAAGCTAGGCACAAAGCTAAGAAAGATAATGGGGTACAAAGCATCCCTCGGGCTCAGGGGCCTCCGTTGGTCCTAGCCCCATAGGCAGCCTTGTCTCGCATCAGAAGAATCTCAAGAAAAGACAGGGAGGCAAGCTTAGATACAAAGCAGTATTTATACATTTATTTATATACGTATATTTACTTCAGAAAAGAACAGTTCAGGGGACAGGAAGCAGGCAGGCCTGGGGCTGCTTGCCTCTGCCCACTCCAGAGTCAGAGTTGGTGCATGATAAATATGAGTCAAAGCTCAGGGGCAGGAACGGGGAGTTAAATGGGAGGGAGGGGGCGCTCTATGCACACGCAGGCTTTCTGGGGGATATAATGTGGGCAGGGGCACTTATGCATTGAGAGGCCCTATGTACAGCTTGAAGCTTGAGGGGAGGTTAGCCCAGTGGCTACAGGAATAAATGCCGAAGGGGAGAGAGGAAGGGAGGGATAGGCTGCTGGACCCCAGGATGGAGCCAAGATACCCATTCACCAGCACCTGCCAGGCAGCTTTCAGTCTCCAGCAGGTGGCCTGCTGGCCTTCCCCAAAGCCCTTTTTCCTTACTGGGCTTTAAGGCAACTTTGGTCCAAGGTTGACCCCACCTTGAGCAGCTTAGAGACCCAGCTTGGCCCCAACCTCTGCACTGAGGACCCCCTCCCCAGGCACGGAAACAGCCAGCTGCTAACCAGATTGGGGCGATGCTGTGTCCAGATGGCTCCAGGGGACAGTGGAGGGTCACTATCCAGTTAAACACAGAGGGGTTGCAGTCCAAGAATATGCACCCCCACTGAGGAAGCCCCAGAATCCTTTTAGAAGGGGCAGGGCTTGGCATCTTTAAGGCATTTAGGGAGGCTTCCCCCAATGGAAGGAAGGAGAACAGAGGAGTCTTAAGTAAGGCTCAGCCCGCTGCGTGGTATGGGAGCCATATGATTCCTATGTCAGAATGAGGGCATAGAGCCACGCTGGGGAGGGGCCTGGGAGGCCAGGCAGCCTTGCTCTCCCCCAGCTCCCACAGTTTCCCCGCCCTGAGGACAAGTGCTTTGACATCCATGGCTGAAGGGGGCCCAGGCTTCTTCAAGATTCAGCTTTCCCACAGAAAGGCCTCCCATTCAAAGCTGAGAATGAGAGGTAGGAGGAGCAAGGCCCGGTTCCCAAAGAGGTGGCCGAATGTCACAGGGCAAGGATGGCAATTCCCTTCTCCCCTTGTGAACCTATGGCAGACATGGCTGAATGATTTCCACTCTCCTTCCATGAGCCTGGATGTGGCCTCTGAATGCTCCAGATATCTACTAAGAAAGGTTAATGTTGGCACTTGAGATAAGACTTCTGCCATCACAAAAGCCCACCATTCTGCTCCTGGAGGAGTGGGCAGAATTGGGGCCTGCTGCTGAGCATGGGACCCCAGTGTGGCTGTCCAAGCCCATCACAGAAGCCCCTGATCTGGGGAGATGAGGCCACCCACGGACAAGAGTGGAGAGGCCAGTCTTGGTGGCTGGGAATGGGATGGGTGTCTCAAGGCTCCTGGGGACAGATCAGAGCCAGGTCCCTGCCTCTGCAAGTGTCCCCCACTCTGGCTTTCCATCTCCATCCTTTCACTCCTGCTCTGGTTTAAGTGCATTTTAGTAATTACTTCATTAATAACAGCAAAAGCAATTTGTATCCACCCACCAGCCAAGACTGGCCTGCTGCCTTGCAGGGATTCCTGCTCCTCTGCTCAGTGAAAAAGATGGGTCACCAACACCACTGTGAGCTCTGGAAGCTCCTAGGAACCTTGGCCATAGGGCCACAATACCATCTGGGGGCTCACAGGGAACTTCCCTTCGGGATCCTCCAGGTTCAAAGGTCCAAGGCTTACCTGGCCCACTGGCCCCCCTGGTTCAGCCAGGCACCTAAGTGTACACAAGGCACATGGTTAGTCACCAGCCCATCCAGGGCTGGCTTCAGCGGCCCGGGTAGCTCTTGAGCCAAGCTCTCCCAGCAGGAAGAGACCGAGACCTCCTGGGCCACGCTTAAAGCTTAGAAGTCCAAGTCCAGTAACAGTCAAACCCTAAGAAGTCCACTACCTGGCCCTCCCCAGGGAGCAGTTTGGAGGGTGAGGACCATGTGCCCTCCTCTGACTCATGGGTCCAGCCAAGTCTGAGGGCTCGAGCCAAGCCCCGCTGATCTCAAAGGTGGGCAGGTCCTCTCCAAAAGAGGGGTGGCTCCCAGTCTCAAAAGGGGAGGCACGGAGGGTAGGCTCTGGACAGAATCACAGGCTTCCCCCGCCTCCAGGGCACCTGAAGCCAGCCCTCCAATGGCCATATCTGCACTGATGTGAATTGGGCCTGGCCTGGGCCCAGCAGGTCTCTCTCCAGCTCCCTCCGTGGTATAAGGCGGGGGCCGTCAGCAGGAACAGCAGCTCCAGTGTGAGGACTTCCAGTTTCACCAGTCACGGGGAGAGCCGAGCCGACTCAGTCTCTCAGAGGGAGTGCCAGTGGACGGCTGAGTGCAGGCAGGCGGCAGGCTCCAGTGTAACACCATTGCATCCAGTGTGGAAGAGGCGCCGGGGGACCCCCGGGCCCTGGGGTGGTGCTGCCTCTCTGAGGGCAGCTCAGTCACACAGGCGGTAGAAGTGGAAGTAGTAGTCTGTGGCCGGCTGGGCCAGGGCCTCCGCACTGCAGTTGGCCTGACCCTGGGTGGAAGGGCAGTGGGAACTGGTGAGGTGGCTCTGGGGGTGCAGGGTGGCAGGCACTCCCCGTGCTGACGTCGCCTGACACTACCCCAAGCCCCACTCTGCTCTTCAACAACCCCCTTTCCGAGCCCCACACGGAACCTTTGGGGGCAGATGGGGTGCCTGTGCTCACCAGCAATGCCACCCGGAAGTGGTAGGTGAATTCGCGGAAGGACAGGATGGTTACTGACCACTGGTGGGAGATGCCCTGTGGAGAGGAAAGGGGTCAGGACAGCGCCCCACCCCATCCAGACCAGCATCCCTCTCACCATGGCCATCACAGCCCTGGGCTCTGTGGCAAGTTTTACAAAGGGAAGAAGCAGAAATTCGAAGAGATCAGAGCACATACGGCCTGCTTCGGGGAGCAACAGCAGCCGCCCTCTGTCTGCTCTGTGCCAGGTACCTAGGGGTCCGCAGCCATTTGTCTTTTACTGCCTTACCTCAGGCGCATCACAGTATTTCATTAACTCCATCCTCACTACAACCCAGTGAGGTGGTGGCTTATACATGTGGACACTACTGAGTTCTTTGCCTAAAATCACACAGCAATGTGTGGCAGAGCTGGGATGCAAACCCACGTCTGTCCTGCTCTCTCCCTCGCAGGGTGGCATGAGGCCTGGCTGCAGGCCACTTGTGTGTCTAGTTTGAGGCTTGGCTTCGGCTTCTGTGGGTTCAGGCCCAAGCTCCATGTACTGTGCATCTGGCCAGGCCCTCCCTCCACTTCCCCATGCTCTCCCCTCTGCGGAGACCAGCGCCTGGGCCTCTGTAGGACTCTCACCCACTCTGTCCTCTACTCAAACTACTTTTGGCACATCTTTTCTCCCTGGCTAGACAGTGTGTTCTTGGAAAGCAAGTCTTGTTTCTCCCCTACCTCTGTCTCCCTTCAGCTAGGCCCAGCATAGGGCCTGGGTCAGAGGAGGCCCCAATGAATATTTGTTGAGTGAACACATGAGTGTTTAGAAGAAATTGCCTTAACTTGTGCTGAGAGGCACAACTCCAGGTCACGTGGCCAGTGACAGGGTCCCAGCCATTTCGTTCCCAGACCAGGAGGCAGCCCTCTCCATGCACCCAAGAGATCCTCCAAAGTCACAGGTGCAACCCCGCCGCCCCTCCCATCTCCGCCTGAGCTTGAGGTCCAGCCTCCTTCCCGTCTCCCCTGGCACACAGCCTTCGCCATGTTTCCAGCTTTGCCAGTGTGCCACGCTCTCCCTGGCCACCAGGTCTCTGCATGCGCTGCTCCCCTACTCCCGGGACGCTGTCCCCTTTTCTTTCCCCAGCTGATGCCAAATTGTCCTTCAGGTCTCTTCTTAAACGTGACTGTTTGGGGCAGCTGTCTTGACCCTGAGACCAGACAAGGTTAGTTTTCCCCTGCCACTGGCTCCCAGGATGCCCTCCCTGTCTCCACCAATGCACTCATCCCGGATTAGGCCTTGTGGGACTGTTTTCTTCCCTAGGGCTTTGTCAGGGCAGGGACAGAGAGGGGAGATGCTCAGCAGTGAAAGGTGCACGCACACGCCCCTCCCCAGGGTGCGGAGGCCCAGGCCCCAAAGTGTCCATTGTGGAGATGCCTTCACTCTGACTCCCGGCTCCCTCTCCTGGACCATTTGGGGGCCCAGGGAGAGGGAGCTCTGGGGACTATCCGGCCCCCAGCTTCCCAACTGCTTCCTACCTGGGTGTCCTGATGGGTGTGGAGGCTCTCTGGAAAGCCCCCCTCCTCACATGGCTCCTCCTTCGACATCAGGCTGCACAGCACCACGGACACGGGGGACGAGGAGCTGGGGAAGGCCCAGTTAGCAGGGAAGTGGGGCTCCGAGCTCCTCCACCCCAGCCCCCTCCCAGCCAGCCCTCCAGTCTCCTGCCCTTGCCCTGCTGAAACAAGGGACTGAAAATGATGTATAACAGTCAAGGTCCTAGACGGCTGCAAACCCTTTCCCACCTACTGTCCTACATGGTCTTCACAGCCCCAGGGAGGCAGCAGCCTTTTCACATATGAGGAACTGAAGCCCGGAGATTGTCAGGCCACACAGTTAAGCACAGAGCAGGCAGTAAAGCTAGCATCCCTCTTCAGCCGCCTCCCCCAGGGCGTCTGGGACCACTGCGTCTCCATCCCCCACGCCAGCACTTACTTCATTTGCAAGGTCAGTCTGAGGTGCAGTGGGGTGCTGCTGCTGACAGGGATGTGGTAGGTGAAGTTTCCAGGCCTGGAAGGGCAAAGCTGGCTCCTCAACCCAAGGCCACCCCATGACGCCCCCTTCAACTTCAGCCCACCCCCATCACCCACCTAGAGTGGAGCCCCCTAGAAAGGGGCTGCCCCTCCTTTTGCAGGAACTTCCTCCCTGAGGGGAGCAAGATCTGAACACCTGTACTGCCTGGGCTTATGTCACCCGAGTACACCTGTCCTAGAGGTGAAGGGAGGGATCAAGCCCACCTGCAGGCATCCTCTGAAGTGCAGTACTGGGAGGTGATGGGCATTGAATTCTCCAGCACCTGGATGGAGGTCAGGGACAGCACTGGGTCTGCAAGGAGAGAGATCATTAGGGCAGGAAGGAGGGTAACAAGGCAGGACACAAATGAGAAGCAGCCAAACATTTCCTTGCCAGACTTGGATCAGTCATTCACACCTTAGTATGAATAAGTTTCAGGTTATTCTTTCTAGATTCCCACAATGGCTGGAGTCACACCACCAACTTCCCCAGCAGCCCTATGCCTACCCAGTTCCTGTGAGCCTGAGGTCTCTCTCCTTGATGGAACCAGAACACCCAGAAGCAGGAATAGGTCTTCCATATCCCATGCCAGGGGTGTACTGGAGCCTGTTCTTCAGGCCTTTGTTCCTGATTGCACACATCTCTGCCCTACTCAGGGTTCTGTGACGTCAAGTTGATAGCTCGCAATCAGCCATGGTGGAAGTATTCACACACACAAATCAGGGCTTCTGCCCCCAGAGAACACCTACAGCACACCACTGCTTGTGCCCTCTGTGAACAAACGCACGACAGATGGCCTGGCTGGGTGGGAGTGGGACTGAAGTGTGACACGGGGGGTGGGGGAGACAAGGCTTTCTCATTCATTTCATTTCACCTGAGCATCCCACCCAGGAAGGGGAGGCTGGGGCCAGGGGCCACTGAACATCTGCTGGACCCAGTACATCTCCAGTTCTGTGAGGCACCTGAGGACCCAAGCAGGAACCAGAATGTCCCATGGGGCCAAGGACATGTATCAGATACAGACAAGAGAGACAGTGCCCTTCCCACTTCTCTTCTGGCCAAACTCCCATTGTCCTTCAGAGACTCAGCTTCAGTGTCAACTCCTCCAGGGAAGCCTCCCTGATCACCTCCCCACCTCAGCCTAGCTTCTGTGCCTTCCCCAGTTGCCAAGCTGTTTGAGTGTCCCCTCAGAGCCTCACCGCACTGCTGTTTTCATGTCTGTGAGTGTTTGTGGGCAGGGCACATCCGCCTTCATCACCCTCAGTGCTCTTTGCAGAGCCGGCCACAGAGCAGAGGCCCAGGAAACGGCTGCCTGGAGCGCATCTACCCCCTGGGGTTTCCCCATCACTTTGAACTTCAATCTCAGCAAGCCACAGTTTCTAAGCTTTTTTTTTAAATTTTTTTAAACTTTAAACCACAAAACCCATGACATGAAAATTGACGAGGAAGCCCAATACCTAGAGCAGAGCCACTGGTTGAAGCCAGGAAGGTGCTCAGCCTCCCCTTCAACCTCTGAAGCAGCCCGTGGGGCACTCTGAAGGAACCTGGTTTGAAAACTTCTGTAATAAGGGTTCTCTAGCTTTGTTAAAACCAATGGTTTGAGGTTTGGAGAGTTGAGGGGGCCCTGAACAGCACCCTCCTTGCCCTGGCGTGATGAAATAGAAGGAGCCAGGCCCTGGAGTCAGGCAGACTGGGGATCAAATTCCAGCCTGGCCGCCAACAGGCTGTACAACCCTGGACAAATCACTTCACTTAAGTCTCCATTTCCTCATCTAAACAATGGAGACAATGCCTTTCTTACAGGAGTGTTGTGAGGATTAATTGAGGCAATCTATTACAAGGCTCCTGGCCTGAATCCTGGGATTTAGGAATGCTCAGCGAACATCTGTTGACTGACAGTTCTGTGCCCAGGTGTTCTGGTGATGGGCTGAAATGTGCCCCGGCCAGTGAGCCTGGCTGGGCTGCGCTGAGCAGGGCGGGGTTAG